TGCAATCTTCATAACACTTTAGAATTTTATACTTTTAAAGGCAGACCCTCAAAACACAAATTCAGAGTAAACTTTAAAGTGCCTTAATTACATTTTATCTCTCTATTATTGCACCCCGAATTAGAACGGCCTATTATCATATTGTGAAGGGTTCCTGGTGAACCCCCCAGGCCTTGCACCACTGACGCTCAAATACTCGCCCGGTACTCCAGGAGTCTGAACCTACAACCCTTCCTTAGTTCCCACTAGTGCTTTCGATTCCGCGCCACCATGTTGGCAGCCCATGCAGTTATGTTAGCATAGTTAAGCCCAAAGAAGCGCTACACCACATCATCTTATTGGGGAAGGACAAGTGTACGATCTGAAGAGTGAAAAACTGGAATCTGTGAAAAATAAGATGAAGGTGTACCCCAGCTCGCTGACCAAAGCGTTGCAGGAATACTGTAATTTGAAACATTTACAGTCATAAGACAAACATGGCACTATAGGCTAGGATAGAATTTAGCAGAAATAGTACAACGTTTAGAGGATTGCTTAATCTATGCCTATTTTTTGTGCTTCATCTCTGGTTAATAGGTTGCTCGGGGATGAGAGACTTACCCACATAGAGTATTGAGGACAAAGTGTTACTGGCTTCGACTACTTATTCATTTGTGACCTGCGCAAAGACGGTGTGCTTCTGAACAGGACAAGATAATTTTGGTGCTGGTTTCAAGTGATATCGCAGACTTGAGAGTGTACCTTGCCTACCATGGATGCCCAACTCAGTGAATCACCCCAACACCGGAAGAAAATTTGCATTCTCGGAGTAACAGGATATGGAAAGTCCACGCTTGGGAATATCTTCCTTGGAAAGGATCCTGGTGCCGGTGATGGTTTCAAAACTAGCGGGGGGGCTGAAGGCTGCACCACTGAGGCCAATGCAGTCGACGGACTCTGGCTCGGAACGGGAGATCCCATTCGAGTCATCGATACGCCCGGCCACGGAGATTCGCAGGATCGAGACGAAGAACTAAGGAAAAAAGTTGTTGATTGTCTCAAAACGGAGGAATGCATAGACGTCTTCGTATGGGTCAAGGATTCTGGGAACCCCAGGTATAACGGGTTGGAGAAAACGATAAAGCTCTAGGAAAACTTTTAGAAACCGTTGCGCGAGAAGAGGTTGAACCATCAACAGAAGTCGTTCACCGCGAAGCTGGCTCCTAGACTCTTTCAAGCCTCCTTCTTTCCTCACTGCGAGCTTCGCACCAAGAAAGATTTCTGGAATTCCTTTGCCCCAGGTTGTGTAGACATCGAGTTACCCATCGTGGCTCTGGATGCATTCTACGATGAAGATGACCCAGAAGAGACGGAGGCATTCCAGAGGGAAGTCGAGTTGCTCTGGGAGCATGTCAATGGCTTCAGCGCCGTGCCTGTGGATCGTATCGAGGTGGCACGTTCGAAGCTGGAGGAAATGAAACATCGGCATGATGATTTGCTGAAAGAACAAGAAGAGCTACGGAAGCGGGAACGTGAAATTGAAGCCCGGAAGAAAATGGAAGATGAGCTCCGGGAACGTCAAGCGAAATTGGAGAAAGAGATGAAAGAACAACGCGAAAGAATTCAAGGTCCTCCTTGGCTGCACTTCGTGATATCTTTACGTCAGTCGGTGGCATATGGGCTGGAAGTCACGAGTAATGTGGTAGAAGCCGCGGGAAAGGCTGTGGCAGATGGACTGGAAGCCACGGGGAAGGTGGTGGTAGATGGGCTGGAAGCCACGGGGAAGGTGGTGGTAGATGGGCTGGAAGCGACGGGGAAGGCGGTGGTAGATGGGTTGGAAGCCGCAGGAAAGGCGGTGGCCGATTGGTGGAACTCGTTATGAAGGCGGTAGTAGATTTGGTAGATGTCGCGGGAAAGGCGGTGGGGGAATGCATTGACGCCGTTAGCTACAGAGTGAGCAAGTCATTTGAATAGCATGAACCTCACGGAACCTATTTTCTTGGAATATGAAAACATTATGGCTCCTTCATGACTGCTATACCATATGGCAAATGCTTGCGCAAAATGTGTGCTTGTTATTCTTTATTCATGACTATCTTTGAGTGCCTTCTTGCCCAAAAATAAGTGTGGGCAAGTTCCGATTGACAATTCGTGTGCGTTCTTTATCCAGCTCTGATGCATGCGACCAGAATCTCTTGCGAGATCATGATACCATGACCTCACAAGAGGCCATGCCTATATTGAAGCAATGAAAAATGCCAATAAAATAATTAATTCCTTTTAGACATATTGTCATTTTTCTTTCTTTTCTTTTAAATAATCCTAACACCACTGTATTTTTCATGTTCCAGAATGTGGGATGCATGCATTTGTAACCTAACGGGTTTAGGTTAGGTATAACTCTTGAATTGACAAAATTTGAAAAATATCAATTTCCTGTTTTCCCGTAAAAAGCTCCTCTTTCGGCAACTGACTCGACAACCATAAGGTACAAGTGTAGCAACGGTAGGGAAGGGAAGGGGCTCTCCATTAGGGGTTTAACGTTACGTCGGAGTTATACAGTTTATTGAGATCCGCGTTAACCTCTTTGTCGGAAAGATAGGACTAATGCCTCCATTAATCATCTCATTGTTTTGAGAAACTGTTTTTTCTTCTTAATATATGGACTACACCACCCCCACCCCCTCCCCCCTTTCTCTCTCAGAGGAGTACCTAGAACTAAACCTACCATTTTCATGGGATGATTGAAAATTATGAAACGGATTAGCAAAGATTCGGGATCACAACTAGGAAACGTATCATCCTTCGCGTAATTGAATGAGAACGACGCTCACGTGCTTCTGAGTCCACACACGATCGAATCTGGACCGGACGGTAACAATAGCGGTGCAAATCCCATTTTCAAAGAAATGTCTTTGGAATTTTTCCTCCGCCCGGGGAACCCATCTCTTCTGCCACGTGGAATTTCTTCAAGGATTTAATTAAACAGAATGAGCGAAGAGATGCGACAGATGTTGAAACACCTAAGCCGACGCTTTCGCAGCGTCGATTCGTAATTATTGCGCCGGCCCGGTGCTAACGTACCTACTGGACGTACCACCGCAGGAAGTACTGTTACGGTGTACGGCCCAAACGTGAAGTACCCGCTTCCGAGCACACCAAGCATACCTGAGCCCTCCGCATCCTCCACGACCCCAGAAACGCGACAGCGAATGGGATTCGTCGACAGCCTCGTCCCGCGCGACAGCGAATGGGATTCGTCGACAGCCTCGTCCCCGCCCGTCGAGCGCATGGAATGCAAATGAGTCGGCTAACGATGGTGCATTTTCATCGACTTCAGCGCCTTCTCTAACGAGGCGGAAAAGAGGAAAAAATAATCTCATTTTTGGTGCAATATTGCTTCATCATCCCTGGAAGTTCTGGGTGCGAAGTGGATTCCATACATCACGGTTTTTTAATTTGGGGTTCATATCGCGTTTTTTTTTTGTGAATGCGATGGCTCCTTTCTTCTGCGTCCATCGTTCTCACTCTCCGAATTCTCTTCAATTTCTTCGTCAGTGATGCCAGGGGAAAGGCCTGGCTTACGATGCGTTGGAACGATGCGTAAAGATTTTTCAATGAATAGGGCGTAATATTTGCCGAGACTATCAAAGGATTGAGAAACTCGTGAAGGAAATTCACGATACTAATGCAGCCTCGTACTTAAGATTTTTAAAAATTCATAATAAAAAAATTTATGCGAAAATGCTCTAACCGAAGGAAATCAGAACTATCCGATGGAAAGGAATTTGTTTAAATAAAATAATTTCTGCACTTTCCAGATACGGGCGAGACGGAATTCGATACGTCTTGGAATATTAATCCAAGAGATCTTTCATTCGATTTGCCGACGGCCAACATGCGAGGAAGGTCTCGTGACTCGAGGCAGCGATGAGAGAAGGCAAACCTACAATATTTCTATGATGCCTGCAAAGAGGCGAAGACTTCAATGAAAAGTGGCGTATTAGGCCTACGAAACCCATCGTTCAGCTGATATGAATTCACTTGCACATCACAGTATCCTCACCACGTGTATCCGCGATCGAGAACCAGACCGAGTGGGCACTGGGCGCTGGCCTGCCTGGGAGCGAAAAACGGCAAAGAGACACCTGCTGGTGTTCCGAGTAACTAGCGTTGCGTCGCCCTGTCGCGAGATGCCTCGGCCGGCTTCCTTCTGTCCTTCCGCATCTTATATGGCTGAAAGTGAGTGCCTCTCTTGCACGCCTCCTCTAGGTTTAGCGGATTTGGAAGCTTCCTTGCTTCCAGTTCTCCCTTCTCACCTCGGCATCTGCTTCCATTTCTCTTGGTGTTAACGCCCGTAGATAGTCTTTGAACAAGAGCCAGTTGCTAAGCCAGATTCAATCGAACGTCCGTTGTAATGCTGTCGTGGCTAAATTAGGCCTTCGAAATCCCTGATAGCCCTAAACTTCGTGGAGCTGACGATTTCTTTATAGTTGTAGCATTCAAGTGGCCCTATTTTGATCTCAATGGGATCTTCCAATGGAGGAGATCTATTAGGCGTGACTTAGGCTTCATTTAAGTATATCCGGTGCCTGTAAGTAGGCCTTGGCTTAACGTTAGGCCTTGGTCGCCACCGCGGGAAAGCGTTAGGCGCGCCTCGCCTTCGAATGTTATTGAATGCTTTCATAAACGTACACTAGACCCCATGAGAATCTAGTTTGAATGCAGGCCCTGATACGGTCACATTCAAGGATTAACTTGGGAAATTCCTTTACGCCTTGCAAGGCAGCATTGGCGAAACATAAGCTCCTTACTCTCATATAGTGATGGAAGGAAGTAATTCATTCCAGCAACGAATTTGCTGTATTCATCGTCAACTAGGATCATAACTTTGTTACCTGTACAGCAATTTCATGGCTTTAACCATGGAAGGGTGTACTACTGAAGTTTCAACTCAAGACATCTGCTGGATACCAGTTAACATAACTTGAGACTGAATTATTGTCTTGACAGTGTAATAAATGATTCTTGTCTTGGTAGATGGCACCTCCCACAGGGGAGACGAAGAAGGAAAAGACAAGTCCACTTCTCAGGGTGAAGGGGAAACGTGTGAAGGGTGTGGCACCGAGTAAGGTCGGAAAGTCGCGCAACTATGAGATCGCTCCAGGCATCATGCGCTTCTCCAAGGCCCGAATGTATCACAAGAAGGCCATGTATAAGAAGGTGAAGCATGGGAAGAGACCCAAGCAGGTGAGTAATATTGTCTTTTGAAAGTAAAGTCAGCTCTCATCAATCCAGACTCGAGGGGACTGGTGATTTTGTCCGGATTAATGAGAACCTGCTTGAGTGACCATTTTTCTTCTTTTCTCAAGGAGAAGAAAGCTGCACCTCTACCATGCGAAAAGGCCTTAACCCTACAATGCATGATTATTCTGACTGTACCAAAAGCATTTTTGACCATTTATTATTTGAAGTGGTTGATGAGAAAAATAATGGAAAAAAATCATTTCATTTTGGTTTTTCCATTGTATTGCAATACATTTTAATGCAAAGCAGAGCGTGCCATATCCGGCACACTGTGCAGTGTAGGGTTAATATTTTTGCATAGGAATTGGACATCTTGGACTCTCCTTTCAATCCATATGATTGAGTCTCATAGAAGATATTCCAAATTTTCATTTTCTTGGATTCATGCATCTTGGAAATTCAGGATGTCAGTCTGGAGAGCATCTTGTTCAAGTTTATCACTCCTCTTTACCCGATACTGTTGACGGAATATTCTATTCACATGTTACCTCATCTTGCCCTTTCACCTAAGGCCTCATCCACACGCGAAAGTTTTCATGGACAGACGATGAAAGAATGTTGCAAAAGAAAGATTTATTAAAGAAAACTTTCGAACAAATCTTCCAAGGGTTAGTGAGAGTGCAGTCAGAGGGAAATATTTTCTGTTGTATTATGTCTTTTGCTGGCAAGCCTGGATTAACGAGAGAGAATGGTCCAGGAGATAAAAAACTTGTCTGGATAAACGAAAAATATGGAACAACGATGTCTGGATTGACCCCTTTCCTGCAGATGACATATATTTACATTGTGGGACTTAGCACCTGGCGGAGGCTGGAATAATACCGTTGAGATGCTGGGCTGGCTCAGTTGATCCTGTGGTCAAGGGGTTAAATGGAGAATTTTATATTAACTCTATTGGACTTCTGCCAGGAATATTCCAGATGTTCATATTACTGGAAGATCCGGATTACTGGCATTCGGATTGATGAGAGTTGACTGTATCTGCTAAAATGCATAGATGCAGGCTGTATTATTCTGATGATGTCTTTAGGCTGGACCCTCCAAGAAGCCTCTCTTCGTGGAGAAGAAGATCGGCGGGGAGAAGAACAACTCCACCCGTTTGGTTCGCATCAAGAAGCTGCCCCAGTACTATCATGCTGAAGGGTGAGTTGGTGTTGAGAAATTGAAGAAGTCCTTCCCATAATGCACAGAAGGTAATGCTGGCTGTGGATCCTGTGCTTCATGTTTGTCCAGGGATAAGAAGCCAAGGCAGAGGAGGAAGACTGGCAAATTCATCAAGCGACAGAAGCTGAGGAAATCTCTGGTCCCTGGGACAATCTGCATCGTCCTGGCAGGGCGGCACAAGGGCAGGCGGGTTGTCTTTCTCAAGCAACTCCCTTCTGGACTTCTTCTTGTAACTGGTGAGAGAATTTGGTGCTGCCACATCCCAGCTCATGGATTTTTGCAATATTGAACAGTATTAGATGAGAACCTTATTTCTGATGAGTAGAAACTAGTTAACAAATAAGAGGTTCCATTGTTCTACCATTCCCTTCACCTCCCAGATTATTAACAATTCACATGCATTGCAAGCATCAATATTTATGGTTCACATTTCTTTTACCACCTCATTTCCTTTCTCTATTTCCCTTTGGCTGAAGGACTCAGTATTCTCTATGCTATCCTCTGAATCCTGCTTGTAATAAATCCCAAATAAATTCATACCTACTGAGGACTTGCATGCAGTAGTTCAAAATATAAAAGTGAAAGTACTTAGATGCATTCATTCCATAGTGAAGCAGTTTTGTGTCGAGTTGTGCAATTTCTATGGAGATTAAAATGTTTGAAGTAATACATAAAATGACATTATGGTGGCTGCAGAGAAATGTCTTGGATTTTCCTTTTAAAAAAATATGGTCACCCTAGTATAGAGACACATTGGCATTGGTGGATATCTCAGGACATGTTTGCCCATGCTGTCATATTCACATTAATATTAATTGTAGAAGAGGACTATCTCATGCATTTATCATGATGACACTGATGAACCTTATTTTAAGAAAGGACTATCTATAAGTGTGTGTCTACAATGGCATTCTCTTGTGTAAACTCTCCCCTTAATCATCAGGCATCATTGCATTCATCAGACTTTGATGTTCCAAATATTCAAGTTTTAATTTCTGAAGATTGAAAGAAGTTTATATCCAGCAGCTGACTGTTTAGTATTTGTGCTACTTCTATTAAAGGCTTTATCTCATGGTACACATTATTCACATCACATTAATATCGTATGATATTTAAAATTTTCTTCATTTTCTTTTAGATCATGCTCAAGCCTTCAGTGGCCTGTCATACATGTTAGCAAACTAACAGCTGGTAACCCTGACATTGAGATGATATGCTGCAATAGATTGTCATTCATTGATTAGAATATTTTCTTGATCCAATCAGGCCCATATAGGGTGAATCGGTGCCCACTGCGTCGCATCAACCAGAACTACGTGATAGCCACACAGACACGTCTGGATGTCTCGGGAGTCAAGCTTCCCGATAACATGGATGACAACTATTTCCGTCGCATCCTGCTGAACAAGGCACGCAAGAAGGACGAGGACATCTTTGATACGAAAAAAGAGGTATGTGTCTCGGCTGTTAGCAATAACCTAAACCTATGTACATCTTTTAATTAATTTGCTTTGCTATAGTCCACCAAGTGTGTTCTTAGTGTGCTGGGTCTCAAGTTCACTTAGGAAATTGAAAAATTGCAAGAGCAAAGGAGTTTTTGAAGCCTGAAAGGAGATGTTTGTCCACAGCTCAAGTAGCAAGCTCTTTTATGCTTTTCAGTTGTGATACCTGTGATTTGCCTGTTCAGGAATGTATTAACCCTTTCACTGTTCTACAAGAAAATGCCCTCTACCTTGTATAATGGTAGACCTCCACTTGGGCTACCACTCTACAGAAGCAACATGCACAACTGAAGTATGTACTCGGGCTAACAGCAAAAGGGTTAAGGGCTTGGGCAAGGCTGGAAGGCAAGGCCCTGGAACTTTCTCTGAAAATTAAACATTACCATCTTTACTTTTTTTTGGTAACTGAGAAATACTATACATTTGTTGAATGTAATCATCTGACTAATGCCCCTCCCCCCTTATGCAGTAGGATACCCTAGCACTGTTTATAATAGGACTGTACCCTTGGTGTTGTCCTCTGGGTGTTACTTTGCTTCACCCTGACAACTTTCATGTTCTCTAATTGCTCCAGCCAAACAAGGTCAAAAAACTAGATCAAAAGTGTTCTCATTCTGTCTTTATCTTAAATCTTTCAACTCAAGGTGGTTGAGAACATGTTTTTGCCAGTTGCTCTTTCCAACCGTCATTGGTTTCCATATATTGTAGAGGGCTTCCTAAATCGCTTGTTATGCCACACCAGTGGCTTTTCACCCATTCTGAGGTTCCCTTGTAGCTGGAGCTTCCTGTTCACTGGCTTGTGCTCAGTGCTCAGACCCCCATGCTTTAGGCTGAGTTCATGCACTTGCTATACAACATGCTGGATGCTGCAGTTGCATGCTACACTGAAAAATCCTATCCAGCATGCCCTGCTTCTAGACTGCAATCTTGCAGTGCATCAAGAAATATGTTGTATAGCATGCTGGATGGAATAAAAACCATTTCTTTTTTTGTTTTTTAGATGCAGTAGAACATGCGTTATAGCAGAAATATGAATTCAGCCTTTCCCTTGTGCCCATCACCAGGCCTCCTAAATGTGCAGAAAAATCTTGCACTAGCTGGACCCCATTCCCTTGTGGATATCCTGGATAAAAATGCTGATATTGGCCAGGCCATTGTCAGCACCAAGTTCAACTGCTTTTTAGCTTTCTCATACAATTTGACTTCCTTAATCTGGTTGCACTGCTCAACATCACTGCATCTTCTGCAGCTTGCATGTTGGAGCTCCCATCACAGAAACAATAAATTTTGGGGGGTAGCTTTCATGAATCCTCCCTCATCCATAATTTCAAGAAACGTGAACAAATATTTGCCAAACTCACCTTCTTGGCACATAGACCTGAACAGAATCCTTATTCCCCATTTCACTCCACTCGGAAATAGATTCGAAATACCTCTTTTGATAGGTTCTCACTCAATCTTGCCCTCACCCAGCATGAAACTAATGAGTATCCCCTCTTTGCCAGTGTTTGACTGACTACATCTAGACATAGCTTACTTGCCTCTTCCACAAGTTCTTGCTCCTTGCTGCCAATTGTCAGGACTTTCCATGTCCACATATCCAGTGAACATTTTCTGAGTGATCCATCATTCTTTTTTGCTCAGCCAACCCATTTCCGACCTCTCAACTGATGAGTTTCCCCCACAGTGGAGGCAGGCTAGGTGGGTAGGTTTTTGTGTGGAATTGGAAAGTGCTATGGAATTTGAGTCATCCCATGACCCTGAAACTTTGCTAGATTTTTTTTGCACATATTTAGGAGTTTACAAACTATATTTCATCAAGTGAATCCATCTAGGAGATTGTTCTGGGCTATTAGTATGATTCCATTGCTGCAATTGAAATTGGAGTGTTTGGCCAGTTTTCTCTGTGAATATCCATCCCACTGCCTTGAATCTCTATTGATGTGAGAATTGCATTCACATGTAGTGAAAGTACCCTTTCCATACAAAGAACCCAAGACAAGAACATTTGTCAAACCCACCAGTTTTGAGGAGCCAAAATCCCATCATGAGTATACTTGTTCTTTGCACCACACGGGAGAATAGTCATGAATAGTATACTCGTCATACGTAGTTAACAGGTTAAGGGAATGAAAACTTTAACTGCTGGTTTTTCTCATGAAATGCCTTCAGTATTTTGCCCAAAATACTCCATGATCAAGTCAATCATTAGGCCAGTGTGTCTCAGCCAGAAGTCCAAGGCACCCAAAACATCAATTACCTGACCTGTCAGTCTATTAGCAGTCATCCTAAAAGCACAGTGACTATTGCAGTCCTGATTAACTTAGGTTGCCTGAATGAAACCCTATCCAGTATCATGCCAAACCCATCATCAGGGTTCACGTTAACTTGCTACAGCGAGTCCCTGACTCATATTTTCTTGGAGGGACTCATTGACAACCACCTGAACATGCTCCTACTGAGCTGAAGTTACAGTGCCTTTACTCAAGATTTTGAAAACCAGTGTGAACCCTACATTATGCTTCTTTTGGATAATCTTCGTCTTCTGAGACAAAACCCCGTGTCATGGTAGAACTCAGGACACCCATATCCTTGCTTTGGCCAAAAGGCTCCCAGTAGTTTATATGTATAACTTTCCTAATCAATGAAAATTATCAGCCCCTAATAGTTTCTCTCTAAATTTGCTGAAGTATATGTGAAATCCTTGGAATTTCATGGTAAGAGCTTTGCATTTTATGTTCATGTGGGGTATGAAATGCTGTCATGAGTGCCTTGTTCTAAGTGTCACATCACCCAGGCACATTCAAGCATCCGACTTGGTTCTAAATTTATTTTTAAAATTTGGGGTGTCACTAGAAGTGGGAAAAAAATATTGATAACTCCTTTTAATAGAATCCATAAGAGGAGACACCTGGGTAACTTTTTACTCTGGACTAATTGCAACTAGGTTTTTGAAAAAGATTCAATTTGGGATGTGATGATATTGAAATTTTCTAATATTTTGATCATATTATGTTCAATGATGGAAGACATTGATATTGAAGAAGCAACTTTTCATGAAGTTATCAATATGAAATTGTGAAGGCATGATTTTTACCCCCTAGATATTTGGTTCCAGGTAAACAAAACCCCTAAAAAATTTTTTCTCTTAAAGCCAAGTTTACTACCACATCCATTTTTTTTATATTTCTGGTTTACTATGGCCTAACCACGTCCTGTGGCTCATTTCTTACTTGAAGACTCATATTAATAGAGAAATAGCATATTCTCCAAGATTGAGCATTAATTATGCTTAGTCTATGCTACGCTGTGTAGGTCGAAGTGTCTAATGACATATCTTGTGGTCTCAAAAGGCCCTAAGAGGCTTAACAAGGTCGATTCATTTCTGTGTCATGATCTCACTCCCTCTGAGGGCGTCAATGCGTTGTAGTTGCCTCATTTCCTGCGAAAGTAGAGTGGAATATTGATTCTAATTATAACTGTCCGTGAACGAGGTTGGTAGGATCGTAGGTCTTATCAGACTCCCCAAGGCATCGGGAGATTGAGAAGGAAAGTGTCTAGATGAGGATTTGGGGGCGCGATAATGGGATTCCACTGGGCATGGAAAATGATGTGGAAAAAAGGAAGGAAAGGGAAGCCGAGATAGCAAGCTATTTCGGCGCGAGGCATGATAAAGCAATAAAGCAAGAAACTGGGTATTTTTTGTTGCTCCATCCGTCTGTGCTGGCTTCCGGCTCTTCCTCGTGTGATAACGAAGCAGACGCTGAATAGACTTGAGAAGGTTGGAGGGTTCTTCACCGAGTCGGGAATTTCCGTCTGCTTTTGTTGCTCCCCTTTACTCTCGGCCGTCTATTTCGGCTTATTTTGCCGTTGCGCGATGCCGCTTAGGTGATTCAACTCAGTGCATGTTTTCAAGAACTTCCTTAGTTACAGTTCTAGTTTATATTCAGTTAACCTTGGATATCCGAATCTGTGTTATGCGAAAGGCGTAATAAAGGAGGTCTGTTTTTTTTTGGCTTGGTAGTTATCCTCTGCTGGTTTCCTACAATCCGCAAAAGAAACTGTTCTTCTGAGCTTTGCATTGGAAGAAAGCTGAGCAATTTTCCATCTATTTTCTTCCCTTCCGTGAGTCTTTAATTTGTAAACCGATTGATGCGGTGCTAGATCACGCTGTGCAATCTGGAGGCATATCCACATTCACAGTTGTCAACGTGATGCTCGATGTTATTGAATAGGTTAGCGAACAGATGGTGTCAGCAGGTATTGTTGGGAACGGGCACTCATCCACACTTGCATCAAAAGCTGACGTTGGACTGCAGAATTTGACATCTCCGACATACCCATCAATGCTGCGGGTTTCTGCTAATTTCCGAGGCCACAACTCATCGCCATACGTCTTGAAAATTCGCTTGAATTTGATGCAAATTTTACGTAAAATATTCTCGAAAGTTTAATAAAACTGTATTATGCCGAATTGCAAGAACCTCCTCTACTTTCGTGGTGACAGGGCCATTTGTTGCTCATTAGTAAGACCCATCAATTATTCTCCAGTTGGTGCGTGAAAACGTTTAACTCTTAACCCTTTGAGGAGTGGGCTTTTTTAACGTCTAGATTACCCGTAGTGACTACATGGAGGGCAGGAGGATGACATCCCGTATATATACGGGCATACTCGTCAAAGGGTTAAGGCCTGAATGCACAAACCTCAATTAGGCGAGATGAAGAGACTTTTTAAGCTAAAGACCTCATTTTCCCCCGTAGGAGTCCGTGTATTCTTAAAGAACCGTTAACTAAAAGAGGTTACAGCATTCGGTTTTCCAAGCTATATTTAGGAAGTATAGTGATAGTGGTGTTGATGCATTTGTAAAGGCTGATCATTCTGATGTCCATTTTTAGAAATATCAAGTATCGGAGCAGAGAAAGAAGGACCAGAAGGAAGTGGACGATCAGGTGTTCGCAGCTCTCAAGAAACACAAGGAACGACGTCTGGTGCGTCAATACCTGGCCACTGGCTTCAGCCTCCGTCACGGCATGCTCCCTCATGCCATGAAATTCTAAAAGAGAGAAAAATAAAACTTTCTTCCCGTTGTCCGGAATCATTGGCTTATATTGTCATCTCGACGAAGTCCAAACCGATAAAATTTAAATATGTAACAATGGGTGAATCATGTGTCTGGAATGAAGTCCCCCGTGAGGGCATGCCACCGGTCGTGGCGTATGTCGGGATTCTTGATGGTCTCGAACCAGTGCCTCAGGCGCTCGCCCTTGGACTCGATGCCGATGCGGAGGCTGCCGAGAAAGTCGTCGCGTCTGCCGTAGTCTTTGTCCCACACGGAGATGTCCAGGGTCCTCTTCGGGAGGTCGCTCAGCTTTCCATCGAAGATGAACTCCTCGTTGAAGGTGGGGTTCAGGTTCTTGTGTTTGGTGGTCGTCTTGTAGCGGCGGTGCTGAGGATCTGGCAGTAGGGATCTGTAAGAACGAATTCTCGATCGATTATTTTTTTTTTATATTTGCATCCTGGGTAACTTCAGCAAACCTGTTCCACTTTGAAATTGGATTACGATGCTTTACATAATTTACCAATGGAAATAGAGCTACGTTCCGAGTGCATGAAGGATTGCACAGAAAAGTTATGTAGAAGGGAATGCTATTAATGCTCTCATAGCTGAATTGACCTGCGAGAAGGAATTCCATGTCTTTCATACGTTTGACACTTGGTAGGAGGATAGAGATTGAGGAAAGAAACGCACACTCTAACAAAAGGGTCTGAGTATCCATTGATATCCTTAGGGAAGAGCCCCTTGCACCGAATGATCCCCACAATCAAGGCATGCCGAGACGAGGAAAACTTGAGCGAGAGCAGGATCTTGCCCCGCTCCACCGACGGATCCATCCCCACCGGATCCATACTCCCCTTCCTCGCCATCTTCTGAAGAAGGCCAGATATTGAGTTTCGCTCCATCTAATGATACGCTCGAAGGAGCGAGACATACCCAGTGAGGGAGATCGAGCTTGGCGATCGTATGGAAGGGGACTTGGGGCTGAAGCACGTTCAGGGGTTGGATCACCTCGCCCAAATTATCGTGCCCGAACCGATCCTCATCTGTCGATCGCAGCGTGTCATCATTCTGTCAAATATATTTGTGATAATGAAGAAATCCAACTTGCCGACGACTGAGAGCTGGAGGGACTTGACGACCAGGTCCTCCGGTCGAATTCCGTGATATGTGACTGTCTCGTTGAACTCCGGGTGCAGAGTTCGATGTACCGTCCGTGTTCGCATCTCTCCTCCCTTCAAAGTTCATCAAAATACTTTTACGTATTTAGATTGCATGCGCCAGAAAGCGTGACATGTGTGATCTCTGACCCGCGCGGCACGTGGCAAGAGGTGAACGAGGACATATGGATCCGCGTATCCAGTGTGCTCTGTGGCTTGAAGATCCTGAAACCAAACAATTTCCTCTAGAGCTATATTTCAAAGGTTTATCAACCGATTTTCCCAAATCCAATTTGGCAGTTTGCATATTTCACCTTCGCCCTGATGACTGTGCAGTGCAGGGCCTGCTGATCTTCGTAGTACGTTAGGCTGAACTCCAATTCTCCTGAGAATACGAAAATGTCATGCTTCGATGCGATGCCATTGAAAAAGTCATGAATAATGAATCACCCCAAGAAATTACAAATGAATAATGCACCTGATGCTTGGTGGCTGGGAAGAATGCTCGGGTGTTCCGATGATTCTCCCATCGACGAGACAGAACTTCGCCTTCAGTATATGTTCATGAATATGCATTGTAGGGCTTAAAAAGTAATCAGCTCGAGCAACTCTATTCAAAGCCTTCCCTTACCTCGTAGAGACAGTCTGGAAGGGATAATAGTCATCGGACTCGGATTGACTCCCCTCGGAAATGGAAGCGGACCTGATATGCCTGGGCTTCATGCGCGGGGTGGAGATCGGGGTTGGGTTCTTCCGAGAGGGAACCGGGGAAGGTGGAGGCTGTTGCTGCTGGGGGAGGATCAAACCAGGGATGCGAAGACTGTCGTCGCTTCGAATGGATGGAGTTTGCTGTGACCGGGTGGGCCATGGGGAAGACGGGGGGCGGGAGAAGGCTGTAGAGCCCGGGAGGCGCGGGGAGGATGGGGGGCGGGAGAAAACCGGGGACGACGGGTAAGGAGGAGCAACCGGGAAGGTCGGGGATGGTGGGGGGCGAGGAGTCCGGGGACTCGTGGGAATCGGGATGGAGATTGGGGACTTGGGGCGCAATGAATCCCCTCCTCCGCCTGTATCTGCGCGGAGAGCACAGAAATTAAATCACATTAACCCATCTAATCCAATTCGCGCGAGAGGTCTATGGGAATTGGATAGGCTCATAGAGAAAGGGAGCATACTGGATGCATCTGGGGCATCGGGTGCTGAGCTGTCTCCCGATGACGAATATTTGCGGCTTCGCACCTGCTGGTACCTCACGGTTCTATCGATCCTGCGTTTGTTTGCGCGTCACGGTATGAGAACGTTAGACATTGATGTCTTGGACAAAGAAAGAGCGGAAATTTCAGGGTGTAATCCAATTAATCTAATGATAGACTCACGAGTGAGTCCTGATGCCAAGGAGGTCCTCCTCGGAACTCTCCTCTTCCGTGTCCTCCGTCGCCAGCTCTGTCGGAAGTCGTTGATTAATCCTTCATGAATAATAATGATCTACTTTATCAACGAAGGAAACGAGACCGAGATCTCACCTTTGTTCCTGGCCCAGGCGGGCGGTGCCTGTCGCCTCGCCGAGCCCTGAAGAGGAAGAGGGGAAGGCCGACCCTTGACTTCCCCGCTCTGAGGAAGGGTATAAGCCGGCAGCGTCTTGAAGAACCAGGCCCCCGACTTCTTCCACAACTCCCTCGCCTCCGCACACAATTTGCAGAGCCAGACCATCCCTCCTTCCCCCTTCCCGCTCCCGCTCTCGATCCCGCATTTGCTGCAGACGCTCTACGACGAGAACGAACGTCGTGGGTTTATCGACCGGTTTATCAGAAATCTGGTCGCTTCGCGATCATTATTTCCCCGTTGTTTGCGTCTGACGTCGGATTGTCGTTTTTGTCATGCCATCGACCTAGCACAATATGTCACTCACACGGCATATCGATCTCTCTCCTGGCACATGAGTTAGGGCTCGTTTAACCTTCCGTCAATCAGCATTAAGCGGAGAATCCCTCTCTGCCCACGCTCCTTCATAATGGAAAGCCTCACATAGGATCTAGCCCCCTTTCTCTTTCATTCGTGATCGTGGGCTTTCCGAGTGGAAAGATGTGTTCCGGAAGTAACCGTACTCTTTCTTTTCTCCTATTTAATCACCCATGAACCATCGGTAATCACACGTTCACGTGCTACCTTAGAAAATAAAAAACTCTGCAAAAAATGAAATTATGATGGCAGGATTCCCGGTTATAACTATGCAAATGACGACTGAGGAAAAAAAAACATATGCGCCATCATTTTTCTTCCAGAGCACGGAGAAAGCTCGGGGAAATCTTCTTTTAAACCTGGGTAATGAGAGCACCTACAGAGCTCAGGTGTGGCTCAACTGCTTACGACTCTAAATCCCTTCCAGCCCCTTTCCGCCATCTTCCTTAATTTTGTTTTTCCTTATCGATCCAGCCCAAAGATTTGGGTCATGAAGTCTCGACTCTTAGTATGCTTGTTGACACCCACACAAGTCTCTCTGAAAGCTTCTGAAACCTGAAGAGAGAATCTTCAATTAAGCTCTTCCCGGGCAAGGGATGCTAATTATCTTCGTAGAACATAAATACGCGCTTAATTATGCAAGGTGACGCTCAAATTCAACGGGGAAAAAAAAATATTTTACATTTTGACGATTCAATTCGTTAGGTTTGATCTCGCAGTGATTCTTATTGCACATACGATAACTGCGATTCCATCCGTCAATATTGGCCAACATTAATGCCTGCCATATGTAAATGCACGAGCATTCCAGATTATGTGCACCTAGGCTGCACAATATATCGATATCGTAAAATCATAGCGATATGAAGCTGTGGCGATATCGACATCGTCCTGGCGCAGGTATATCGGTTTTATCGTATATGATATGGAGATATATATCATCGTCGACGATGTGATATGGATACTGAGCTTCCTTTGGGTGGGAATTATTTCATAGGTAAGAGCAGCTAATTGTTGACTCAGGTCGTCGTACCACGATACGATCGCGTCGCACATCGCGACACTTCCCTTGTTTTTCTGTCATCTTCGTCGAATGGAGAAAAGGAAAGCCGCGATTACCAATGAAATGGAAACAGCGTAATAATCCCTTTGCCTCTCTCTAGCTGAGATAAAATCGATATGTCGCGATACTGCAGGAAGACGATACGATATTGTCCCGAGACAAACATCGTGCAGCCTTCATAGCGCGCTTTATTTGTTTCAGATCGCATCACACTTTTCTCTCACATCTCTCCCGAAATTTGCCAAAACGGGCGGCAAGATTTCACGTTCGCAACGTAAAATGTTCTTTTAAAAAATACAAGAAGAAAATTCTTACCCCCTTTCCCTCCTCCCCCCCACCCCCCCCCCCCTCCTCCCACTCGCACACAGCAGCTATAATGGTGAATGACAGCGTGAAACATCGTGAGGTTTCCGCTCGGCAGACCCTCCCCCCTCCCCTCGCATCTTCGCCCGGCACCCCAGGGAATTTCCGAGGACTTCAAAGCTAGCCGCCAGCGAATCCGCGAAATTGGGAGCAAGTCGACCAGAAAAGCTCGGAAACCGCTCTCGAAGATCGTCGAACCCCACGAACTCGATCGAGTCGAGACCCAGGCTTGATTAGCCTCCGATTAGCCACTTCATTTCAAGTTTGGAACTCGGGAAAGTTCCCGTAACGACTCATATCCCTTCATTAATCCGCTCTCGTGGGTTCCTTTTCGTTTCCTTGCCGGCGCTGCCAGATCTCCCGTCTCTCGTTTCCTCATTCTATAGAGTGAGCGGCCTCGCGATTTAAATCCAGTTCAATTCGACACCAACAGGAAATCTCGCAGTTAAAGCCCACAAAATAAGGTCGCGAAGAGGAGGAGGGAAGATTTGGAGGGGTTCATAGCGATGCGCCAAACGCGACAGTAGTTAGAGAGAGAAGAGACTGCAGCCTGAGCCCTTCTCTCGAGGACGGCGACCTCTCTGCCGGAGAGCCAGTGGGCGGTGTCATCTGCATACTGGCTTATGTGGATGTCGAGTTTACGAGGTAAAGAGGAGGATAAATCGTTAATATAGAGGATAAAGAGAAGCGGAGCGATCACAGATCCCTCAGGGACTCCCGCTGTTGGGGAAAAGGATTCGGAAAAGGAATTGCCGACCCTGACCCAAAAGGTTCTCTCGGTCAGATATGAGGCTATCCAGCGCAAGAATCGCAGGGGGATTTTAAAAAGAAAGTGAAGTTTATAGAGTGCCATACCTTATCGAATGCTTTGGTAACGTCAAAGAAGAGAGCTAAGAGATGTTTTTTTACTGTTGACAGCCTCGAGCGCGTCGTGGTGGAGCCGAACGAGCTGATAGATGTGAGGTCTGACAATAAAATAACGAGACTGACAACACTGTAATGCGTGTGGCAACACTGGGTTAGTGGCGATTGCTGTAACCTGTCAGTGCATGTCTTAAGTCTATGCAGTAACAAACTTGTCATGATACTTGCAGTGATTGCAGAGCAGTACCACTTTACTTAAAGTACTGTTAGGGGCACTCGTAAAAAAAATCAAACTCGAAGAAAAACCAACCGGTTAAGACGATGTTGTTCTGTTTCTTCGACCGCAAAGGGATAGTGCATGGTGAGTTTGTTCCTGCTGGTGAAACAGTCAACCAGCAGTTTTATCTGGAAGTTTTTGAAACGTCTGAGACAGCGGATTCGTCGGGTGAGGCCGGAAATTTCCCCGATAAGTGGATTTTGCACCACGATAACGCACCGTCACACGCAGCACTTTCCGTTTAGGAGTTTTTGGCAAAAAAATCAATTACAGTACTTGAACACCCCCCTTATTCACCGGATCTCGCTCCGTGTGACTTTTCCTTGTTCCCTAATGTGAGGAAACACATTTTGAAACCGTGGAAGAGATTCAGAAGGTTACGACGGGCGTTCTAAACATCTTGCAGGAGATTGACTTCCAGAAGTGCTTCGACAATTGGAAAAAATGCTGGAATTCATGTATAGCTGCAAGAAGGAACTACTTTGAAGGGGACCACCACAGTTTACAATAATATAAAATATATAGCTATTAAAAAAATACAGTCTCATTATTTTATTGTCAGACCACGTATTTCCTGGAAATAATGCAGCATTATCAGAAAGTTATTTGTTCAAAATTCCACCCCCTAAATTTCTTCCGTTCGCGATCGGTGAGAGACCGCGCTTCAATAGATGCAATCGAGCAATTCATACAAATAATTAATCATTACAATAATAAAATATGAAGGAAGTAACGATTCGCCAAGATCCTGTGTTTGAACTACCTCGTGTTTGCTTTCGGTTCCCCTCCTTGATCCTTACCCTTTAATAGTTTCTTTGCGCTCTCTCTGAGAGGACCGTATCGACCGGTCGCGGTCCGAGAAAAAAAAAAACCCGAGGGTCGCGAGGGGAATTAATTTCTCCGGGACTGTCGGGGAATTCCCAAGCATTTTCCTGGTTTTCTTTTTCCGAAAAAATAAAAGAGACTGCTGGCGGGCCGCCAGGAGGGCCACAAGTGGCCCGTGGCCCACGTGTTGAGTGGCCCGCGTGTGATGCATGGGGAGCGAGACCTGCCGCTTTTCATCGACGGCTTTCCGAGGCCGGCAGGATTGAATCTCGATTGATGATGCCTCCCAGTTCAGCTGTCAGAAAAGTTAACGCCCCAGAGAGGCTCATTAAGGACAAAAAAAGGAAGGAAAAAAAGGCGAGGGCTGGAGTGTCACGGAGTTCCATGAACCTTAAGATAGAATCCCTGCTTGTATTCAATATTTACCAAAGGGTGAATATTTACCTTTTTCTAGGTATCTAGTGTCTAATTTCGCGGAGTGGACTGACTGCCAAATCGTATAAATGGCATATTGGCAGGCATCGCCCTGCATTCGCACTCCAGGGAAAATGTGAAACATAATTGAAGCCATTACGCAATTAACCTATGCAATTTAATTTCTGCGTTTCAAATTTGCTTGATTGCATGGCACTTGGCATGCACGCAACTTCTCGTGGCGATGAAATTTAAGCCGGAGAGGATCGAACCCCGTCGGTTCCTCTGCAGTCGATTGCGTTCCGCCGTTGCGAGTTCACTCTCGGCGAGGTCATTAAAAACTTCTCGAAGAACTTCACTCGTTCGAAGCGAGAAAAATAATTACTTGGAACCGATCGTCCTTGCAGCTCCTTTCATCTATTCCGAGTGGCTCCGAAATTGCAAGGAAAACAAGCAGGAGTAATGCGAGGAGAAAAAAAAAGGGGGAATGAAAAAAAGACCTTGTGGCAGTCGTGACAAGGCGTGCCGGTGGGGCCCGTGATGATCCCGAAGGACTCCGCGCAGAGGCCGCACTGTCCCTGTCCGTCGCCCGACGCGTTCCGTCGCAGCCGATGTAGCCGATCCACCAGGCGCCTGCAGAGAGCGAGGGACGGCACGACGTGAGTGATACGCGGCGTGAGGGATGCACGGTGCGAGGGATGACGTGAGGGATGCACGGTGCGAGGGATGCACTTGGATTATGCATTGCTGGATAGCGTGTTGACCGCATCGCACGAGAAAAAGTGCTTTTGCTGGGTCGAAGTGTCTTTAGGGAAAGATGTTGGAGGGAGACGGTCTTTAGGGTACGGAGTCGGGGTCTTTAGATACGAAGTTGGGGTCTTTAGGGTACGGAGTCGGAAGGAGACGGTCTTTAGGGAACCGATCCTGTTATGGAATTTGATGACTTTTTTTTTATGGATCGGCCCGACTTCGTTTACGCTCTTGATTAAAAGATGAGGATCGCATGCAACCCGTGCCGGCATGGGGTCATGGGCATGGGGCCATGGCATGGGGCCATGGCACTCTCATGATCCCTTCGCGTGGATGCCGAAAGCACCCTCTAATGGGGCGATCCAGCTCTCCTCCGAGAATTACCCCCTTTGCACTCTCGGAAACAAGAAGCGAGAGGCTCATGTTGAATTCAGCTTGAAAGGGAACATCTCGCGTGTTTCTCTTTTCGCTTTCTTTGAGGGTTCACCGTGGCACATCAGGCCGTGTTTAACGAGCTTTTTTTCTTTTCTCCTTCTCTCTCTCCCTGCAAGTCTTCACTCCTTTGTGTGCTCCATGGCATGAGGCATAGACCCAGATCGATTCCTCCCCTTTCCCTCGTTTGATCTACTTTCTAATGACCTCTCTCTCCCTCTTTCTCTCCATCTTCTTGGGCTTGCATTCGCTCGGGGTTGCGAGAAACGAGGAAAGAAACGGAAGGGGAACTTGCCCGATTCGCTGTTGCTCGGCTTTCTCCAAAGTTTCGGCCCGCTGCACGACTTTCAGAATGGCTTGCTGCTCCTCCTCGCTCAACGGCTGGACCTTCCCCAATCGGTTCTGGCCCGACTTCACCGACCAGCCTGCCTGCAACCTACGAAAAAAGTCGAATATGCACGACGCGAACAAACGATGCAAACGACAGACCAAACGATTCCGTATCCCTCGATGCTTCCGCAGAAATTCCGGCACGGACCCGGAAGCATTTCAAACCGATTCGCCAACGAAAGAAACAGGAACTGACTTAGCCCTGAGCGCAAGCTGCCGATCCGACGGCGGCACCCACCGACTCCTCCGCGCGGAATCGAATACGCCGCTCCCTTGGACATCCATCGAGTCCGGCTGTCACGGAGCCACTCGGTTCCGCCTTCACGAACGCGGAGCACTCGAAGAAGCAACAGGCAGCTGCCAGCACGAGCACATTAGCCTTTCATAGAGATAAGCCTCCCCGACCCTGCGCTGCACACCTCTCGAGCCTGCATGTGAGTGTTCCCCTCGTTCTAAGGCCTATCTGTATCGACCAGGCCTGCTCCATACACATGGCATGTCAACGCCAGCCCTAGCGGTCCCCGCTAGTCGTTATCGCCTGCGCCCGTCCGCGTTCCCTTCGATAGTGGCCCCCACACACACACAGCCACAGTCGAGACTGGATGCGGATCTCCACGATGCACTTTCGATCGATATGAGTCCGACCGGAGGAATTTCTTCCACCTGAGATTCGGATCGTTACCGACAGGTGGCGTTTATCCCTGGCCTCGACGAGGGCCGAGTCGTATTGCCGTTCCGATGCGGAAGGTAATCGAGTTGTACGGCTGGAGAGAATCGGATTATCCGAGATGAATGGGATTCCGCTGCTGCGCCTGGTATTCCGAGAAAGGGTAATGCGACTTCATTCTCAATGCGAAGATAGCGATTCCTTTTGTGCTTCGTTAAGGGCGCGCTGGTAAGCCCCCGCGATGGATTCCGCCTGCATTTGTCTCAAGACAAAGACGAGCTCTTCGATGAGATTTTTTTTTATGAAGCTCCTCGATGGTGACAGATTGCGGTTCGTTCGCGGAGGAAGAGGAATTTCCGGAGATGCGCTCTTTTTTGTATCTCCGGTTCGAGATGACTATCGAGCGAACAAAGAAACGAAAAAAAAAGACGCAGGGACTTTCATATACGGGAGTAATCCAATATTGTACCACTGTGATACAAATTCCTGGAACGGCTTTCTTGTGCAGGCACACAGGGCCGGCCTAAGGCACGAGCCACATGTGCCCCCGCACGGAGCGCAAAATCACATGAGGCGCAAATTCACCAGGGGCGCCAAAACGTGCTAGAAAGAGCGACGCCATAATGGATGCCACCCTCAGTTTTACTAGAGAAAGTGGAAATGCCTTCCGTTTTGGCGTCTCGATGTATTTCTCGCTCGAGGGAAACTTACTATTGAGCCTGTATTAGAAATTCCCGTTTAAGGCAGTCACTTGACGACTACTGCCTCGAGAGTCTCGAGAAGAAACTCTCACGGCAGCAGTCGGCAACCCCGAGATCCGCGGAAGTCTCACAGTTTCCCAGTTTCGGAGATCCTGGAATCGAGATCGTATTTCTTTTTTTTTTTAGGACGAATTCCAAATAGAGGAAATTAGATTTTCACTCGAATAGGTCGATCGCTTCGCTGAGAGAATTTCAATGAGGAGCATCGGGACGAGGAGAAAGAGCCGAATGGAAGCGTCATTTGCATCCGAGGATTCTCGCCGTGCATGCGAGCACGACCTAGCCACGGTTAGGTCGTGCTAGGTCATGCTTGGACGTCTCCTGACATTTATGACCCGGGATCTCGAGAATTGATGGCCCCTCGTCCACAACGACGCGACGATCCGGTTACGGTGAATTATTTTCGTACTCATCACCGAGGGCTGCCGCCGAGGGCTGCCACCGAGGATCGTCATCGTCTGCGTTCCGTGCCGCGAGATCGTTCCGCCTCGGCAAGTCCCTCCCCGGAAAAGCTCCCCTTGCATGTCTCCTCGATTATGGCTATTGCCCCCCTCAGGTGCGGCATGGGACCAAAGCGACTCCGATGCCACCACGTAGACAGCGATAAGAGGATTTTATTTCCAGTTCGAGTCATATTTTTATGCATTTTTTCCGTCGCCGTCCTTGACCTGCGCACGTCCCGCGAAAGACGACCGGGATTTTCATCTCGCGGGTCCAGAGATCGTCCTCGGCCGACCAAGACGGAGCGGGGCCGGAGGGGATCCGTCTCCTTTCATCCGGAATCCGCCTCCCTCCATCGGAAATCCGTCTCCCTCCATCGGGAATCCGTCTCCCTCCATCCGACGTCCTATCGGAATTCCATAGTCGAAGCAGTTCCTCTCGGCGTTGCGCACGTGCGAGAATCGTCCGCGTCCGGGCGTGCCGGCGTCGCTCTCGGGACCCGTCGACGTCGGATCCCCTCTCGCCTCGTCCTTTGGGAAAGGCCTCAGACGAATCCAATCAGACATCATATGGGCCACGAATAGAAGCGAGACAACGAGCGGGAAAGGGGGGCGGGTCAGACCAGATTAACGAAGTCTGCCTAGTGAGGAACGCGTGTGGGCGTCGTGGCTCCCTTCGTAATTGCAATGGAGACCCCGACGCAATGGTTTTTTTTCCTGGTTTCTGCCAGAATCAGGGAAAAGTCTCGGGAAATCTTCATCTTGATTTCCTCGCATAATTGCAATTATTCGCGGTGAATTGATGAGTTTCCTCGAGGCTTTGTATGCCGGGACAGAATTGCGTCTAATTACTTGTCTGCTGATTGCTAATTGGTTGTCAGTTTCTCGTTGCCGTGCTGTCGGCGGCGTTTCTTCCAACCAGGACGATCGTTTGGATTTCATCTGTCTTTCCGCCCTGGAAATGTGACGAGTCCCCCCCCCCCCGAATTGCGTCATTTTGAGTTTAGAAACCGAGCCGAAGAAGTTTCCGAGAAGAGTTTTCTTTTTTCCAATCGTTGAAACTTCAGCTCGAGGAAAATCGATGCCCTCGCGCGTCTCGATGGCATGCGAATCGAGCCAACCGCAGAGGAAAAATACGGCTTCGGCCCAGACACACACCGAGAGGAACGGTCTGCATAAATTTCTAATGCGTCGGTACACGGAGAGAGAGAGGGCAGGGCAAAGAAACGGAGGATATATGGGCCGAATTAAGCCTTCGTGGGAGCGTTAATCTTCGCCGAGTGCCAACTCTCGCGGGTTCGTTCACGGTTTTTTGCCTCTCCTTCCTCGAATGCAGATTTCGTTCGCACGTTTACACTCGGTCGAAAATGGGAAAGGGAAGCCAGGCGCATGCATCACTGCTTCCTCCGCGGGAGTCGATAAGCGCCGCGCTGTCGATCCGGAAGCCCGAAGACGTTCTCCGAATTCGAGTGGGAGCCGTTCCGAGGGGATGGCCCTCGCGAGGACGGATGGATGGAGGGGATGGCCCCGTGAGGGAGGATGGAGGGAGGGGATGGCCCTCGCGAGGACGGATGGATGGAGGGGATGGCCCCGTGAGGGAGGATGGAGGGAGTCACGTGGCCATGCGGTTCCGCTTGACACGTGATGGGGATGCTGGATGCGTGGTTCTCGCATTTCGTCGCGTTCCTGTCGCTGTCGGATGGGTCGGGGCGTCTCTGGTTCTTTCCTCTGAAAAAGGGCTTTACGCAGATCTAATTTATTTTCTTGATATGTTTTGATGTTGGGATGCCATGCGTACTCCGGGGAAATTTGAGACCCTCGAGCGAACTCGGGAAAGAGCGCATCGTCGAAATGCATGGAACCCCATGGGAACGAACTCGAGCTCCGGTGATGAAAAAAAAAAAAAACAGTCAAAAGAGTGAATGAACTCGATTGACGAGTGGGAAGCACGGCATGAAACTCGTCGATTTCTAGGGGGGGGCGGTTGCCTGCCGAGGCGAGAGTAATGGGACCCGGAGTGCCCTCCCGCCCTCTGCATTAATATGCATGTGCCATTTCGCGCCCCTCGCACTCGAGGGAACGAGAACGGAATCGAGGAGCAAAACGCCTGACGGATCTAGAAGGCATCGGCGCGGATATTTTCCGCGTTCGCGCGTCGCGGAAGCGGGTCCTCTGGGAGGGGAGGGGAAACATCCTCGTCGGTCTTCGCCGAGATTCTTCATCTTCTCGGTCGGTTTTTCATGCATTTTCAATGCTTCGGGTCGTGTGGGTCTCGGAAGGCTTTGTGAGGTTTTGCGTTCCTTCCTCCCCCGTGCTCTCCGAGTCTCGGGTCGCTCCGAAGAAGAGACCCCGAGTCCCGATTAACCCTTTGACGGGTGTGTTTCGAGACATGGCCTGCGCTGCCAGGTTTTTTTTTTTTCGACGAACCGACCGTAAGAATTAGCATACATTAGTTCAAGAGTGCACAACATACGGTCCGCGAGGTCCTTGTTTGCGGCCCGCCACGACCGACGGCGTTGTAAGTGCTACATTGGCTCCTGCCCTGTCGGCTACGGTCAGCCGGACTGCGGCCCGCGGTATGCAATTTAGAGTTGCAAGCGGCCCTCACAGTCTTTTGAGTCGTGCACCCCTGGTTTGGTCGCTCCAACCATTGCATTTCCGTATTATTTGTCGACGAGACTTTGCAGATAAGTTTATGTCAGTGTTTCTCCTTTCCGTGCCAGATCACTCACTTTGCTCGTCTTAGCTTCATGTCTACTTAAGCTCTCGATCAAATCGTGGTCCTATCTTCATCAAATAATCCAGAAATTTCGGCATTGCTACATCTATCTTTATTACTCGATTTAATTAATTTGCAAATTTAGTCGTATGCAACAACTCTGCCTTCTTTGCGAACGCCATGTTCGTCGGGAGAACCGCACTCGAGAAAAATAGCCGATCGGATGCAGGCATTCATATATCATTGGAAAGCAAACGGAAATGTCGCTAAGGCGTAGCAGCGTACTTCTGCAGGCTATTATTCATGCGACTTCCATAAATTATGCATCATGGCAGAGCCACAACGCGGAAAATTTCGAAAATGTAATTACGCGTCAGTGCCCTGTCGAACAGACTCATGGATGGCGTGCACATGCGTCCGTAGCCTTCCTCAGACCCGAGGAAATTCAGACCGATGGGAATGGCTTCTCAGAGGCATTCTGCCTCCTCTGCACACGATGCAGGTGTCATTTGAGGGATACCAACATCGTGTGGACGGCCCCGCACGGCCGCTAACGGAATAAGTGATAGACGATGGCCGATCGGGGTGACGAATGGCGGCGCGGCACGGCAGGGCCGTCGCTCCGATCGAGTCCTCTCACGCGTGGGATGGACGCGGTTGCTCTCGGCTGGAATGGGAATGGTTGCTCTCGATCGGAATGGAGGTGGACGATCTCTCGAGGGAAAAGGCTCCTCACGCGTGTGGGATTGAAATTTTTCCTCGAGTGGGCGACTGCGTCAACGGTGACGCTGGAGGAGGGGAGTCGAGATGCTCGTTTTAATCGCGGGGCCTTGCGAAGGGACGGCGTCTACGTGGTCCAAGGATCATACCTCGACGCTGACCGGTAGCAAAAAAAAAAGAGAGAGTGGGAG